CGCACCGGAGTGGACCTCGCCAAACATCTCTGGGACAAGGAGGGCCTCAAGGCGACAGAGCGTGGTGACATGCTGACGGCCCGCTCCGACGAGCTCGTCATCGTCAAGTGGATCGACTCCCAGGAGATCTACCTGATGTCGACGAAGCATGTTTTTGAGGACGAGTGGGCACCTCTCGCCTACGAGTGAGTACAAACATAAAACCATTCCGCGAAACCTGTTTTGAGGAACCACGATTCCGCGCTCACTCTTGGTGTGCCGTGTGTAGTTAATTGTCAGGATATTTTTTTAACAAGTTGGAGGTACGTTGCGCGGCTTGAAATGTGTATGGGGAAAGATAATTCGGCCTAGAACAGGGCAGCTGTAACGATAGAGAGGAACGCCTTCGATCGGGACCTTGACGTTTTTTGCCGCCTGCAGCAAGGGTTACTTCACGTGTATCACGCACTCGTGTCATGTTTGAACGGTCATCCGCGCACGTCCGCCGATCTACTTTTTTCGCAAACATACACAGGAGGCGAGCTGCGAACAACAACGGCGAGAAGGTGTCGAGCCAGCAACCTCTTGCTCGCAAGGAGTATGTCAAGAACATGGGTGGCGTGGACGTCGCAGACCAGCGGCTAAGCGCCCACGCCCACACGCACAGGCCTATGACGTTCTTCTAGAGGCGAGTCTTCGATCAAAAGTTCGCTCAAGCCGTCAGAAACGCGTGGCTCCTGTTCTTCGAGTGGGCCGGGGTGCTAGCCACGCAGTGTACCGCGGCATTGGAGGCGGCGACACGAGACGGGGGGGTGGGTGATGCCGGGGAAGCCGGGGAAGCCGGAGAGGGAGGGGCGGCGGCGGGCAGGTGCGACCTAAAGGTGGCAGAGCTCCAAGAATTTCAATGCCTAGTCGAGAAGGCTATGAAGATGGAGCGTATTGACTGGGACCGTAGGCTCGCGAATCACCTCATGTCCTTGTGTAACGTGGGTGACGGTGGGAAGGGGGCAAGGCGCACGACGGCAGTGGAGTCGTACCGCGTGAAGGGCGCACGCGGTCAGCGTGTATGCCATGGGGGGGCTTGCAAAAAGACGGCCGGTCCGTACACTGGGACTAGAACTTGTGGGGTATGCTGGTGTGATACTTGCACGGGTGGGACGGGGAAGGACCGGACGTTGATGCTGTGCAATACGTGCAGTAAAATACCAGAAGCGCATGTTGCCGCTAAAAAGTGGGCCGCCGAGAGAACGTACAAGCCAATCAATTGGTTTGGATCGCCGCCCGAGTAATTCATTGTTATTGTGTGTGTCCCAGGCAAGTGCTTTGAAGTGCCAGAAAATGCGTCGCCGCCACCGTCAGAAGACTATTGGGGGGGGTCCATACGAGTTAGTCGACAAGCAGCCCTGTTGCAACGATCTTCTGTCGGTAGCTTGACTAGCTGATAGTTGATTCGGAGTTGTCATTGTCATTGTTTGCATGCTACGGTGTCAAGATGCCGCCCGGTGCGGCGGTTGGTATGCACTCGAAACACGCAGAGAATAGCAGGAGGCAGGAGGGATTCCCACGGCTTCATGGGTACCTCGTACAACCCCCTGCTCTTTTTTCGCTACTCGGGTGCCAGGGTTAGGGTTAGTCCGGCATGCGTCAGCAATGTCAGCGTTCCGGGTTGGAATGGAAGCGTAGGTTCATGTGTCAACAGGCGGGCCAAGGCCCTGCGCCAATGGAAGACGTCTTGCGCATGCAAAAAATGCGGAAAGGTGTTACGACTCATGTCTATCGTAAATTGAACAACACGCATACACTCATGTTTTTATGGGTACCGCGGACACCTGTTTGTCACGTGCCGTTCACTATCATGGTGGCAAGAGCGAAGAGGCACGTGTCGTGTAATGCTTGTTGAAATGTTGTTGGGCACAATCGACACATGTTGTCGCGAGCGCTTGCCTCATGGCCGTGCTTGTCGCATGGAAGCGTTGTTGCTTTTCGCCAGGAAATTTGTCGTTGCTGTCGTTCATATTCTTGTTCTTCACATGAACAAACAGCGGCAGCCTCTGGTCAGCGCCATCTAATATCCGTACCCGTGTGACGCGCACGTCTACCATGGTCACAGGCCAAGTACCCCACAAGGGTGCACACTTAGAGAAAGTTTATACGCCAGGCATCGCTGGTGTCAATTGCCGGGCAAAACAACAAACAAAAGAGTCCAACGCTCTCGCAGGCGAGCGCTCTCTAACAAATCAACAAAAAAAGCCAAATAATGAACCAAGACTACGACGTCGTCCGACAATCTTGGGCCCGTATATGTAGACCGGGGTGTAGCCACCGGTGCAGCTGCAACCCTCATGCGCTGCCGATCAGGTAGTACCTACACATCCACATCCTGATCACGCATCCATCACGCGGTGTTCTTTTTCAAAAATCAAAGCATACATCAAGACAGGGCGGTTGTTTCTCGGCACCCCTCTTGGAAAGCCCACGTCCACATCCGCATACATGCATACTTTCATCACGACAACAACGCGCATCTCCCGACGACAGTGCTGCGGCATAAAAAATAATCAAGACAAAATGAAAGCACGGACAACGGACATACATTCGGCCGCAGGTCCTCATACAAAACAGTCGGCCTTCATCCACGACGTTCAAGACATGAATGCAACACGCCAACATGTGGAGGTGTTGCGAAGGATGATGACACCACCTCTATTTACTCTCTAACTGCCTCCACCCCATTTCCTCATTTCCAGGCCACACTGCCCGGCGGGCATGCGTGAAGCACTCTGCTCTCTTCAGCTGCACTCCCTTCCCATGCGCATTCATCGCCATGGCCCCGTCGTAGCACGCCTGTGGCATTGCATGCATTGTGCGGAATACACACATGATGCACGGCAGTAGTATTAGACCTCTAGTCTACAGTTTAGTGCTGTATGCTTGCACACATAGGTTCAAATGGGCGGAGAGTGCTAAGGTTGAAACGAACTTCGACAAAGCGAGGAGTTTGCTCGTCAGCGATCATTGCTGTGTGCAGTTTGGGCAGAGCGGGTCGAACAAACAGCAGGATGGGATGGTGTAACTATTCATATGCATAGGACAGCAGTAGCGTCGGGCGAATGGAAGGTGTACCTATGCATATGCTACGACAGCAGCAGGGTCGGCGTACGTTGAAGTTTGTTCCACCTCTGAAATATAGCACTACACTTGCGGCTGTACAGCCCTATCTCTTCCTGGGACCAGCAGCTCGTTTCTTTCTCTCTTGACTCCGTGCTCCTTAGACAACAATCACCAAAGCCTTTTTGCTCCAACAACAACACCAAACAACAACAGCTGCACCCTCCCCTCTGCCTCAGGCAATACTCACTTGGTTGCGGAACTTGTTGGCAGCGGTGGAGCCCGATTGACTTGTCACGTCCTCGGTCCGCACGGCTGCTATTATGTGAGCGTGGTAAACCCCACAAAGACCCGGATGCTCCGCCGCAGCCTTCTTCGCAGCAGCGAGGGCCATGCTCGGCATTGGCTCCGGGGCGGTGTCGTGATGGCAGTACTCGGCGCCAACCTTCGCAGCTACCTCAAACGCAAACGCGCGCACCAGGGTGCTGGTGTCTTCTTCCGCCGGCGTGTTCGCCGCGATTAGCGACACCATCTGCTCATGGCAGGCCATCGTGTTCCCGGCCTTGCACCCCTCGACGTTGGGCGGTGGCATGTATGTCCATAGCTTTGGGGGCTTCTGGGTGCTCAGTTCGTGTGCTGTGCGCTTTGTTGCTTTGTGCGCGTGAAGGGAGCGCCATAGACCCGGCAGGGCCGAACTACAGAAGTACAAATCCTTGCTATAGGTCTACATGGATGATTCTCATAGACGATTTTGTTATACTGAATATAGATTGGTTTAGGCAGCTTGGTGACTCATCATTCCAAGGTCAAAAAGGCCGACATGCCCTACCGGCCGCACTGCGACCACCCATCGACCTTTCTACGACCCTGTCTGTGCCCACCACGCTCGCGCGGGCTGCCCTGATGGCCTATGGGTGGAGATTGCTGTTGCATGTACACAAAAACAGCAGTATCTTCTTGCTGCACTTCTCTCTCCCTCTGCACTGTCTCCCGCCGCATTTTTTTTTGTTTATGGTGAGAAAAAAAAAAGGTGTTTCGAACGGGAACATGCGGCCAGCGAACCACCCGTTCGGCTGGCGAATAGCCTAGACCCAAAGGGGATAGACAGCGTAGGTGAACAATGTAGAGAGATCGTAACCAGTTGTCTCTGCTCGGTGTTGTGCTTTTGTGTGTGCCCCTTCTCTGCTCGGGGTATTGTGCTTTTGTGTATGACTGGTCGCTGCTCGGTGTTGTGCTCTTGTTCTGCTGTTGTGAATTGTACCGCTGCAGCGGGGACGCGGGGTCTCCATCCCCCGTTTCAAATAAATAAATAAAGGAAAAATAAAAAAAAATAAAAAAATAAAGACTCCTGAACTTTGTCCCACCTGAATCTCTTTGGCCGCGAATGAATCG